ACCCTTCCACTGGCTTCAAATTTGTGCATGATTAATCAGCTCTGATAACACACCGCAGTGATTACTATTTGAAATATAATTTCACAGGATTTTTCTCCGTTTACTTGTGAGAGCTGTGACAACTTGCTCAATAGCTATGAGGAACTTGCTTAATACCTCAAAATGCTACTTAAATACTCTTCGCCATTCCAGCCGCCAATACAGTATAGCAAATTGTTGAGAACACCAACGCCTACGCTTGATACCCCCGAAACGCCATAGTCACCCAACGCCAGCATAGTACCTATGAAAGGAAGTTTACTGGAAAGCATACTCTCCATTTTATGAAGTACCTCGAAATGTTCATGGAGGGGATGTGACGCCATGCAGGAAAAGTTTCCCCAGGATCAAAGTATTCTCCGGAATCGAGTGTTGCTCCTCCCACTGAAAGTTAGCTAAACCACCCCAAAGGTCTTTCTCACGTTTAACCTGAGCCCAAACTTCGCCAGGCGATCAGCCCAAGCTTGCACTTGTTGCTCTAGCGTACTCTTGTCTTCGCATGCAAGCATCACATCATCACCATAAAGTCCAAAGGACTTCCGTCTGGAGTCTCGCGGAATGGCATCCATGACGACAACGAAAAGGGGTAGGGAGGGCGCGGAGCCCAACGTGCCCCGACGATGATGGGAAACTGCATCAAAGTGCCAGCAGTAGCGTACTTCTTCGCAAAGGAGCGTCAGTCATCATCATGAAGTCCAGGGAACTTCTTTCTAGAAACCTCGCGAAATAGCATCCACGACGACAAGAACAAAAAGTAGGGGGGAGAGTGTAGAGTGTACAGTCCAGCTACTCCCCCCCCCCCTCCCGGTGATAGTAAACTCCATCGAAAAGCGTGTTCTCCCGACTCCGCTGTCTGAGTTCGAATAAAGGACGCGGACCCACTCGGTTAGCTCTTCGCTGTTCGGCTACGCCGTGCCGTGTTGTTTCAAGGCGTGCCACATAACGTCACTAGATGCGATCAAATGGATTCTCCAGGCCTAGAAAGCCTACATGCCCAGGCTTTTGCTTCTCACGACGTTTCTCCAGTATCGGCGTGTACGGCGTTGATGGTGTTACAATCGGTCACGAAGACACTCTTTGGTAGGAGCTGGACGATGTCATAGGGCCATCAACAATTCGCTCAAAGATTTCATAGTGTGCGAGAGAAGGCGAATTGGACGGTAGTTCGAGCAATCTGCCGGGCTGCCCTTCTTCTTCCAAATCGGGATCGTCACGCTCTGCTGCCAGTCCTCGGGCACCTTCTCTGCGACTATATAGTTGGAGAGCTTCATCAGCCATTCTACGGAGTACCGATGGCGTGATCTGCGGAGGTCAGCTGCCAAGTCGTCAGAGCCTGTAGCTACCTCTTCGAAACCGCTCCCGTTTATAACGGATGTATTTGAACGGGACCGTATATTGCTGCGGCAAAGGGGGGAGCTGGATGAATGGGTTCCATTGTCAAGATCCTCTCGAAATTATTTTGCCACAATACCAGTACCTCTTACGGTTCATCAGAAGACGATTATTCTCATCACTGAAGCCAGAGTATCTTTTTTGCCTTTGCTTGGACGGTGACGAGACTTCGCAAATTAGTACGCTGGCGCTCACTGTCGCACGCCTCCGGATTTCGTCGAAAACAGCGGTTTTAACCTGCAGCAACGGCCTTCTTTGCAGAAATCCTCGCTGAAAAAGCTGTTTGGCGACGAAGGGGCATTTTGTACTTTGCAACCCCACGATAACTCTTCAGATGGATCGAGGTGTCGAACCCATCTAGGCCTTTTCATGAGTTGACAGGTTTCACCATTGTGGCTCGATGAGCTTGCTCCAGCTTCACAGGAGTTCACAGGTTTCATCAGGTAAAGTATGCAAACCGGAACTAGTGAAGCAATGAAAGTGCAAAATGCCCCCCCCCCGTTGCCGAGCTGCGCCAGAACTCCCACTCGCTCCTTCAACCAGTTATCAGCCAATTTCATCTTAAGGTATACGCGATGAAGCCTCTTCTTCTCACGAGCTTTTGCTCGGACTTGCGCGCCCAAAACCATGTCTGCTTGTCTTACGCCGCCCGAGCTTGTTTGTGCCAAGTTCCGCGCGAGCGACGACTTGGATCCACGATTCTACGCCTTCACTCGAGGTTTGCTCGACAGTGATGATCCCGGTGATGCTCTTGTGCTAGAATTCACAGGTGCCTCCCGCTCCCTAAATCGCTTCCACTTGTCTCGAGACCGCACCGCTCGATCTGCTTTGATGTG